GACACCCTGGCGGCAGGGCCCAAGGTAACACCACAGGTGTAGGTTGACACCACAGTGGCCCAGGGTTGAGTGCCAGCARCCTCTGGCCGGGCTGGGGGACAAGGGACACTGAGGAACAGGCAGCACCAGGCAGCGACATGGAGGTGGCAGCATCTTTACTGCCGAGCACAGGCATAGCAGCGTGAAGCCACTGTGGGGACACTGAAGGGACGTGCCTGGTCCCCAGGCCTGCGCCCACTCTGCTGCCACGATGGCCCCAGAATCACTCCCACAGCCGGATCCCGGGAGYGGTCACTGGTGCCACCACAGTGGCSGGAGCTCAGTGGTGGCCGGCGGTGTGACACAGCACTCGTGCCACTGTCCAGCTGATGCCTTCCCATGGTGGCACAGTGGCCATTCCCTGCTCCAGRTGTCCTGGGAAAGGTGACACTGGAGCTTGCTCTGGGCTTCTCTCCACTCTGGACACCAGGAAGAGCTGGATACCTGCGGGTCCTGGCCTGGGAGGAGGAGGGGGTCAGACCCACTTGAGGGGTGGGACAGCACTGGGGACAAGTGTCCCTGCAGGACTGTCCCCTCAGATGGACTGCAGTGGCTCCGGGCTCACCGGGATGCTGGTGTGGCTCCAGGCTGTCCGGCGCAGGGTATTCCTCACTCCCCGTCTCYGCAGGCGCTTCCTCCTGCGTGGCTCCAGTTGTGCCAGATGGCAAAATTGCTAGGACATCAGCACCCTCTGTCACCTTGTGCCACCCTGGCACCCCAAAACTGGTGGCACACGGGAACTCACKGGCAGATCTGRGCTGTGGAAGTCATCTGGATTCCCRTCAGATAAGGAGCTGTCRGAGCCACTGGTGCTGTGTGGAGAAAGAACCACCTGCAGCCCCCACTGGCACCACAGGTGACACAGGATGATGTGGCTACAGGTGGTGACATACCTGGATTCRAGCTCTGAGGGGGACACATCACTCCAGCTGCCTCCAGAGCCTGGCTTGTGGCCCATCTGCCGCCGCAGCAGCGCATCCGCCTCTGCCAGGCACTGCTGGAGCTGTGGGACAGCACCAGTGTCACCACAGTCCAGTGGCACTAGGTCACCCTGGGCTGAGTCTGACCCCACCTTGGCAGGCGCGGGGTCGCAGAAATCGAGCAGAGTGTCACAAAGGAGACGGCCCAGCGACTTGAGGTCCTCCACGCTGAAGTGGAAGCTCCTCCCGCCTGGAGGGGACAGGGACAAGGAAACAAGGACAGCTCCCCAACCTGGGACCACCCCCTTGGGACCGTCCCSGTGGCCACAGCAGCCCCTCACCCAGCGTGGAGCCACTGAAAGCCACCTCCAGCGTGTAGCTCTGGGAGACGCCCAGGCGCCACATGGAGACCCGGCCCGTCCTCTCTTTGCTCTTCTGCACCTGGAACTTGCAGCTGGTGAAGGAGAACTGGGGGGGCCCAGGATCAGCGGGGTCCCAAACCCTTCAGGTTTGGGGTCCCAAACCCCTCAGGAAGCGGCACGGTGGCTGTGTTTCTGGTGTCACCGCAACCCGTGGCTCTGAGGTGTCCGTGTCCCACCTTGTCGGGGGCGTTTTTGCTCAGCATCAAGGGGAACAGGCGCTGGCGCAGCCGTGTCCCGGAGCCATCCCCGCTGGCATCGCAGCCGTACATGAAGACGTTGTTCTTGCGGCTGTGCCCGTGGAAGTCACAGTACAGCAGCACCTCCCGCTCCGCCAGCACCCTGCGTGCGTCAGGATATGGCCACTGGCACCACCGCAGGAGCAGCCCTGTCCCTCCGGTTCCCCGCGCCCACCTCACCTCTGGACCATGGCCCGCAGGTGCCACACGCCAGGGAAGCGGCCGGGAAGCACCATCCCATAGGCCCTGTTGGGATCCCGTCCCGCCAGGGAGCAGCGGGAGTTGCCCACCACCACCCCGTCGGGGTTGAGCATCGGCACCACCTTGAAGACGAAGAGGCGCCGCAGGAGCTGTGCGTCGGCATGGGCACTCAGCAGGAAATCAAGGAATCCCCTCATGGCCCAGGAGCCGCCGCTTTCGCTGGGGTGCACACGGGCGCTCGCCACCACCACCCTCTTGCCGGCTGTGCCGCCAGGGCCGGTGACGGTCAGCAGGTACACAGCGTTGCCGGCCAGGCTGCGGCACAGCGTCTGCACTGTGCAGTACCGTGAGCGCACCGGGTCGGCCGCCAGCGCCCGCAGGTAGCGCTGCAGGTCGGAATAGGTGTAGGGGTAGCAGGCGGCGAAGAAGCACGTGTCACTGTCGTGTGGGAAGCGCACCGTCCAGCTGAGCCGGAACGCCGGCTGCTCCCCCGCACCGCCACGGGAGTAGCGGATRTCGGTCCCGACCCGGCGCCAGCCGATGCCGTGGCTCCGGGCATCCCGCTGGGAATAGAGCAGCGGCTGCAGGCCCTGGCCATAGAGGCTCTTGGGCTTGGCCATGTTGAYGATGGTGAAACGATAGAGCGGCTCCCGACGGGTGTTTTGGACACGAAAGTAGAACCACTGGGTGTGCTTGGCCGTGTACAGGTCCGGTCGCAGCATCAGCACGTACTCGTAGGTACCCCTGTGTGGAGGGAAGGGCTGCGCTCCGGATCCCAGCCTGACACTGTCCCACCGTGCCCTCCAGCCCCTCTCTTACACCTTGATGGCCTTCTGGAGGTTCCCGCTCTCAAAGCGGGACTCGAAGAGCAGCGTGGTGTCCTGGGGACCCTCCAAGGGAGCTGCCGGTGAGGAGAGAGGCCCCGGGGCCCCCCCRACCCGAGCACGGGTGAAGCAGGAGCCTTGGAGTGCTGTGGGGGGGAGCAGGGACAGTGGTGGGGGCCTGGGGAGAGCAAGAGGATGCTGCCCGTGCCCTGGTACCTGGGCTGCAGTGGTAGACGACGGTGCCCAGCTCCTCACTGAGAGTGTCTGGGGCCTGCTCTGCGTCCGTGGCTGGGCAGAAGGGCTCTGGTTCGGGGGGGACCCACTCTGGGAGAGGCGGGGGGTGTCACAGAGACAAATGCCATGGGCACAGCAGGGGTCTGGCACAGGGGCGAGGCGGGGAGAACAGCTGAAGCATTTCCTCACCAATGTGCTCGATCATCTCCTGGATGACTTCACACTCCACAGGCCATCGGGGAGCGGGGAGGGAGAAGAGAGCCCGTGGTTCTCCTGGAGACCTCCAGGGCTGCCCTGAGGGAGCYGGCCTGCTCCGGTGGGGCGTCTGCTCCGGTGCCCCGGGGGCTGCAAGAGCATGGGAAGAGCTGGGGGTCTCCAGTGTGGTGAGGTAGGAGCATYCCCCAAAAGCAAGGCAGGGACAGGGGGAGGCCCTCCCACCACACTTGCTCTGCTGGGAGGATGCAGTACTGGGGGGCTCTGAGGGGCTGCGGGGTCTCACTCACGGTTTGGCTCATGCCCAGGACCTCGTTGCCAGCCAGGGTCGGTACTGCCCCGGGTGGATGCCTTGGGATGCTGCCCGGAGGGGTCCCCCGGGGACATGGCAGTCTCTTCCCTGCCTGTCTTCTGGCCTTGGGGAGAGCAGCGCTGCAGCCAGGGGGCAGGAGGGGACATAGACAAGGACAGGAGGGGACACAGTGACGCGGCCAGGGCTCACCTCGGAAGTAGCCATAGAAGCGCAGGTGGGTGCGGATGAAACTGTCATAGGGCTTCAGGGTCTGCCCCCCACCAAACCCCGCCGGAGCGCCCTCCCCTCCCTGGGCAGCGCAGCGCCCCGCCGGCTCCATGGCTGCCAGAGCCCCGGGAGACCCCSAACAGCAGTGGCAGTGCCGGGGCTGGGCCAGGACGCGGTTGCTGAGCTACAGAGAGGGACGGGGCGGTCCTGGAGCAGAACTGGGAAAAGAGCCAGAGGGATTTCACAGACTCATTAAGGTTGGGTAAGAGCTCCAGGATCATTGAGTACAATCTATGCTCGATGCCCATATTGTCACCCAGTCCAGAGAATGGGGACTCCACCACCTCCCTGGGCAGCCCCTTCCAATGCCTGACACCACTTTCCATGACAATTCCTCCTCCTGTCCAACCTGAATTTCCCCTGGCAGAGCTTGAGACTATTTCCTCTTGTCCTGTCCCTTGTTCCCTGGGAGCAGACCCCAAACCACCCATCAGGGGGCTGCACYCACCTGTCAGGGARTTGTGGAGAGAGAGGCAGGACCCCCCTGAGCTCCTCTTCTCCAGCCTGAGCTCCCCCAGCTCCTCCTGGTGCTCCAGACCCTTCCCCCTGCTGCCTTCCCTTCTCTGGACAGCCTCTCAGTGCCTCTCTTGCCATGAGGGGTGCAGAACTGCCCCCAGGACTGGAGGTGGTTCAGCAGGGCCACAACAGGGGACAGAGAGTGGTCCAGGTCTGTGGCCACCTTAGTGCTGGGACAGCCCGGGTCCCATTGGCTTCTTGCCCACTTGAGAATCCCTGAGGTCATGTTCAGCTGCTCTCACCAGMACCCCCAGGGCCTTTTCCAGCCACTCTTTTCCAAGCCTGGTGCATTCCACAGGGCTAGTGTGACCCAAGCATAGGAGCTGGCCTTCTTCACCCTCACACCTTTAGCCTTGGCYCATCAATCCAGCCTGTCCAGATCCCTCTGMRGAGCCTTCCTGCCCTCCACAATCCACACTCCCTACCCAAGCTCTCATGGATCACAGAGAGTCTCTTGTGCTCCCTATTTCCATCAACCACCTGCCCTCAGCAGAACCAAGACGACACACTTCCCAAACTGATACAATTTATTGGACAATGGTCAAAGGAACTGTACATCTGTAAAAAAAACATCAACCACCTGCCCTCAGCAGAACCAAGACGACACACTTCCCAAACTGATACAATTTATTGGACAATGGTCAAAGGAACTGTACATCTGTAAAAAAAAGAAAAAAAAAAAAAAGAGCAGTGCGCAGCACTGTGCGCCTCATGTGCTTGAGGTGGTTTTCCTTCGCTTCAGCCGCGCACGCCAGTCCTCTGGCAGCGCCTCGAAGTTGGCATTCCTCTCTGCCATGCCACTGCAGGGATAAAGCGASATGTCAGCACCCAGCTGGCCCTCCCGTGGATCCCCCACCTTTACAGGGCATGAGGAAGTGTCCTAGCACCAGCCATAGGGTCTGTACCTCATCAGCTGCTGCTGCTTCCACTCCTCGATGCGCCGCTGGGCTGTGGTCTCCCGGTCCTCCTCRCTGGAGCTGGAATTCTCCTCCTCATCCAGCTCCCGCTGGATACTCTGCCACTTCTTCACCAGTGATGGCATCTTCGTCTTGCCCTTCTTGCCCTGTGACACAAATAGAACTGAGGTGAGTGCAGCTGAAAGYGAGGAGGGGGAATGGTTCCAGCAAGGCACCACCCGTCCGGCCTACCTTGTCCTTGCGCCCCTTCCTCGGCTTCTCCTTCTCCGGTGGCGGCGGCGCCTTGGGGGTGGGCGGCGGGGGCGTCTGTGGGGGTGGAGGGGGTGGCGGCTGCTCGGGTGCAGCGCCCGTGGCGGGCAGGGCTCCCCGTGCCGGGGCCGGCTGCGTGGTTGCCGTGGTGGCCAGACTGATGGGCACAGCGCACTCTGAGTATCCCATCACRGAAGGTGTGGCAGGTCCTGTCACACCCAGGTAGCCAGACTGCAGCCCCAGTGCCGTGGGCTGAGAGCCAGCATGGCCCGGAGCCATGCGGAGGTTGGGACGCCCCTGGATCTCGCTCTGGAGGCGCTGGCGCGGCCTCAGGGAGGCCAAGGGCACGGCYGATGGCTGGTACTTGCCCGTGGCCATCAGGGGCTGGCTGTAGATGACGGGGCAGCTGCCAATAGTGGCTGTGCGCTGCATCAGCCCCGGGCTCATCTCCACGGCTTTCCTCTTCTGCGGCTTGGCCGAGAGCAGCGGAGCTGGGCTTGGATCAACAGCAGCCTGGGAAGAGAATGCCRAGGTGAGTGCTGAGCCAGGAGCATCCTTACACAGCCCTTTCCCAGACTCTCACACTCTGAGATTAGCAGAGCCCTGGTTTCACTGCTCACCTGGCTGCTGCTGGCAGCAGGGCGCACCAGGGACTTCAGGGGAGCATCTTCCTCAGTTCCTGGGGCAGGTGGTTCCTCRCCCCCTTCATCTTCCATCTCCACTTCCTGGATCTCCCCATCTTCTCCGGGTGGTGGGGGTGGCGGTGGAGGTGGCGGGGGTGAGTCTGGGGGAGGCGGAGGCGGCGGAGGCATTTCCAAAGGCAAGGGAGGTTGGAGRACAGGGACAGAGGACTGAAGCAGAGTCCAAAATGGAGTGAGCGGCATGAGAGACGTAGCAGGAACTTGGCCTGAGAAGGATTCTTTACAAAGGGAGCCTGAAGAATACACATTGACATGGGCTTGAACACCCAGCCTACACACTGTGCTGCCTGCTCCTGCCCACAAACTGCCCTGGCCCCCCACACCCCTTTCTGGGGTTAGGACCCCCCACTGCCAGCAACCTCCTGCACCCCCATCYGTACCTGCGGGACGCTCAGTGGGCTCCTCGGCATGCTCTCCTTTGTCTTTGGGAGGTGGCTTTGGAGGACCATCAGGTTTTCTGTCGGTGCTTCGCTGTCCCTCCTCTTCGTCCTCCCCGTCGGGGAACTCCCACTGTGACTCTCCCGAGCGCTCGTTAACATAGAAATAGCGTCTATGCTCCCTAGATCACAAGAAAGAGAAGGAGGCTTCAGCTTCTCTTCTCCGCCCCTGACACTCCRAGGTGGGCCTGCCCACGACAGCAGTGCGCTCTCGCAGGGGAGACCCTCGTGCAGCGGGGCTGCCGCTCTCCCACACGCAACAAACAACTTTGAGGACAGAGGCAGGAGAGGCCCGAGCCGACTCGCTCAAAGCTATTTGCTATTGCTGGCTGCGGGAACGTCGCCCTGAGCCTCCCACTCCGAGGGAGGGGGGGGGGCCAGGAACGCCGGCGACGTCTCGCTAACATCGGGACTTTCAGTATGGCCTTGGCTGAAAGTCGCCCTTCGAGAAGAGGCACCGGGGAACAGCCCAATGGAGGGAAGCGGCTGCCCCCCTACCCCGTGGTGCGCAGAGTTTTTTATGATATTCTTGGTGTCAAACACACAGTGAATGCTAGAGAGAGGGAGCGGATCTGGGAGCTGAAAAACAAAAGAGCAAAGATTTCAAACAAAGGAAAATTAATCAAGAAAGCCAAATAGACAAAGAAATGTTTGGGTCTGACCTGCTGGCAGGAGACAGAAATCTTGTTCTTCATTCCTTCGGTGAGGTGAAGTTTGTCCTTTGGAAGAGCTGTTGGTCAGAAGAGCTGATCCAGAGATCCTGCAAAGTTCACAGAGCTCTCGCATGCGCGACCCCCCAGGCCCGCCCTCAACAGTGCTGGACACTCGCGAGGCACAACCAGCTCTGTCCGTCAGGGAATCGGCTCCGTCGCAAAGCACTGGGCACTCCGTTTGGATCCTCCAGTTTGGCGGCCAGCCCAAACTCTGCGAGTGCCGGATGTTTCTCTGCCTGCCCAGCACTAACAGAAGCCGCTCTCAGTCTGCCAGAGGGACGGCGCCAGCGTCGTCAGGTGGTTGATGGTCACAAATCATGTCTGAGATGTCAGAGATGAAAGGTGAGAAAGGAGGAGAGCGCGTACCTGTCCCAGTGGCAGGACCAGCCTTTAGGGGTGGCGTTTATTTCGTATTGTTTAAGCTGTTCGGCTGCGTCTTGGAGTTTGCGTTTGAGGTAGTTTCCATTGAGAGCACCTTCTCGCCAGTCTGCAATGCGGGTCTAGAGGGCAAGAACCGGGGGAAGCCGGTGAGGTGGGCTGCCAGCGGCCCCGGGGGGGACGGGACTCGAGGATCAGGAGGCTCCCTTCCRGCACGGGACACAGGGGGCCAGGAGGAAGACACCCCGCCTCCGCACCAAGCCACGCTCTCCCCCCGCTGAAGAAGGGAGGGCCCTGCGTGGCRAGGCACCACGTGGCTCACGCAGCACCGGCGCTCGGACGGCGGATTGCATCCGATCCGCTCCAGAACACAAGGCCGGAGCGAGGGGCGAAGGCTCGGTTACCTCTGTCTGCAACAGCAACATGTGGAAGTTGGAGATAGATTGTCTGTTGATGCCCAGGAACTCCAATTTACTAGTCAGAGTATTTGCCAGCTCTCCAATCTGAAACTGCCAGGAGAAAGGGCAGAGTCAAGAGCCGCCCTTCGGGAGCGGCACCGGGTGGCTGCAGCCCTGCGGCTCTTGGGAAACACTGCTCGGGACTGCCTGCAGCCTCTCAGCCCAGAGGGACTGGGACATGCCACCCTGACCCGGCATGCCTGTCACCCCCTCTGTTAAGTCCCACTATGTCCTGCACCCCAGGGACAGAGCAGTGTGGGTGGCTGGGTGACAGCTCCTCCACAGACTGCGCTCGACTCCATGCAGAAGGACAGCATGGGCTCAGGCTGCTCCAGTGCTCTGGAGTTACAGCAGAACCATTGCTACAGCACGAAGTGTKAAATCTGAGAATGTTTCCCAAATAAACGGGCCAGGATGTCATTCCAGGTTCTGTAAATCATGGCTTTCCAGAGGAACTAGCTGGAAAGCACCGGAAAGGGGTAACAGCTCTGGATTTACTCCAGAGGCAGCAGCTACATCAAAACTCAGGTCAGCCCTCAGCGACCACGGCTCCTCAGCCCCAGGGTCCCATGGGAGTATAACTTCAACCTGGGGACACGGGGATCCCTGTGTACATCCCCCTGACCAGGGGCACTGCATGGAAGCAGTCACAAGCCAGAAAGGAATCAGGAGAAGGAATAGGG